TTTATTTACTGCATGTTTATGTCTCTTAAGGCGAAGATGGAACGGCACTGAAAGCAGCCCTTTAAACAATTCAGACTACGAACACAGTAGAGACACAATCAGATGACTGATTATCCCGTGATAATAACTCAGAAATAGTCCAAATAGTTTGGATGCATTTTATTTCTTTCCTACTTACGGAAAGTTTCTGTTTATATCATAGGTTTGTTGTGCCTTTCTATACTAAAGCAAAAGATATAAAACGTCTGATATTTCACAACGAGATATTAACATTCATGGAAAAACCTTACATAACCTTGTATTAAAGCAGAAAGTACGGCGGTCACCTTAAAAAAGGCTTACAGTATTCAATTATGCCGTTTGAACTGATCAGTACATTATTGAGAGGGAACGCAAAAGAAAAAAAAAATCCCCATGTCCCCTGGAGGGCTCCGTACTACATGACTAAATATATATTATTATATGGAAGGAGTCTGCGAAAGGAGTCAGCTGCCCCGTCGTTGCATAGAAGTTCAAATTTATAGGACTGCTGATTGCTAAATGAAGGAGGAGGTGCGTGCAGTTTTCAATCCCTAATTTCCTCCATGTCTCTCCTCAGAGACGTGGTGCATAGCTGAGGAAATCCCCAGGTTACAACTCAGTAAAATCCAAAGCATCTTTAAGTTTATAAAAATATATATGTTCAATGTACAGTTATATATTATCAATCATAAAGGCTCATCCATCAAAAATAAATGGCTAAACTGAAATCTATATACATGTCTTCTCTCGAAGGAGAGAAGACACAAATACACACAGTTGCATACAGAAATACACAACAAAAGAGAAAAAAGCATGAGTGCAGTATTCAGAGGACTGAAAGAGGCTGAAATTCACCACATAAAACCTTTTAAACCACATAAAACCTTTTAAACCACATAAAACCTTTTAAACCACACTCAGGGAAAGAGTGAAAAGAATCGATTGCAAAAAAAAAAATATGCAGACATTTGAATTAGTAAACAGGTTTGGTAGAAAGGAAGCAGAGCTAAAATATTGCTTTTCAAAGTAATATTTAAAAATGTTTTCAATTTTTATCAACAAAACAAATTGTTTTGTTTTTAAACAAATTTAAAAACAAAATGTGGAGGTTCTGAATGCTGACAGTGTTTTCTTCAGGGAAAGGCCTATTCCACTCCCCAGGGTTGTTCATTTTTCACTATAAACTTCATCGTAAAAGAGGTGAATAGGTTTTAAGTTACCAGCACTCCAGGTACGGCTTCAGTCTTTCTACTTTGGTTTTTCCTAATAAATAATGGCTATTAAAAAAATAAATAAAGAAAAAGTGAGATGAAAGGAATTATAGGTGATGGAGTTTTGTTTTTATTTTTATTGTTAATCACTTCAGTACAAGTCAGAATCTATCTGTTGTAGCTCTACTTCTGATTACCCCATGGGTGGTTTTCTAATTCTACACTATTTTCAACGTCTGCCACGCTCCTTCTGAGCATCGCTCTCCTTCTGGGTGCGGGAGGGTAACGTCTTCACCTCCATTTGTTAAAACTGCAGGGCGAGTTAAGTTTAATTCTTCGCAGCGGCAGAGCCGCGTCCGCATTGGTTGTGCAGCGGACTGCGCATGGATCTAATTAACTTCTGCACCTTTATTTATTTCCTCAAAATAAACTGCTGGCTCCTCTGTTTAGACCATAAATGGATTACAACAACATTGCATTGTCTTTAGTTTTCTCTGTTCTGTACTGGAGACTGGAGTTAAAGGCGCCATTTCAACTAAAGATTTGCAATGAGCTTCCTAACCAAGGTGTCCTGTCCATCACTCTTCAACACGCTGTCAGCTCCCGGTCTGAAAGACGCATTTAGTTCAGTGTCCATGAGATGATATTCAGAAAGGATTTTTTTTATTGATTGATTTTAGTTGCCTCTGCGATGAACTCTTTGCGTAAAGTCTGTCATGTCTCCATGTGAACCAGTCAAAGGTGTTTATATATATATATATATATATATATATATACTAGATAGATATATAGATGTGCGCACACACATTTTAAATTTTGCCCCCCCCAGAGGTAGTCCTGGCCCCCCCTTGGGCCCCTGCAACTTTAAAAGTCTAGCTCCGCCACTGGTCTTAGTAGCTACCAATCAATGTTGCTCAAAGTGCTAATGGCGGAGAAACAACGTACCATTCCAGGAAAACCGTCATCTGTGGCTATGCTAACTAGCCTTAGCATTTGAGGTAAGCTAAGTAACCCAGAAGAGTTTCTGACTCGTATTTCAGTATTGGGAAAAGGCAAAGGAGCTCGATTTTTTTTTTATATAGTACTGTCATGATCATAATTTTAACAAATATGTAAAAAAAACAAAAAAAAAACGTATTTTTCGTAAGTTACTCACTGCAGCTTAAAGAGCCATTTGTTGTACTCAGTTAAATGTTGATATTTGCTTATACTTGCCGCACAACACGAACTAATATCTTTCCTTTAACATTGAAGCTTCTTGTGATCATATAAAAGTACGACTGCCGGTGGAGAAGTCTTGCTTTTAACTGTTTATTCTTTCGCCTCTTTTATATGCGAGGTTTGTGCTGATGAAATCTTCCGTTGTCAAGGTTTCAGTATTAATGCCAGGATTTGAGACGCTTATGATGATTCCTGACATGTTACGTTGCTTTGTGTTTGCATAATATCACCGGGAGGGACAGGCAACAGCTGGTGTGCACTGGAAAGATATCGTATCCACACAGAAATCCTCTGTCGAACATGTGAAGCTATTTTACGCAGGGTGTGAGGAGCAATTACCCGCTGGCACGACGCCCACAGAACAACAAATGTTTCATCACGGTGTACGTTTGTCCTCAGACAGTGGAGCATTACAGAAAAGCGTCATTCTGAGCACACCAAGCAAATAAGTTCAGCAGAAACGGCTATTAACTAGGAAAATGGGGGGAGTTATACAAGCTAAATGGAAATAATAGAAGGAGGCTGTGGAAAAATACTAATCTAAGTGAGATTTGCGTTTGACGGACAGAGAACATAAACGCAATAAAGAAAGCTTCCTGATGTGTGGGAGCTTTTCCTCTAGCCAATCTGCAGCACTGAGATTAATCTTCCAATAGTGAGTAAGACTGATACGAAAAAGCAAGAAAATATTGAATGCAAGCTAAAAAAAAAAGAAAAGATTGACTGACATTGGGTTTTACTTTACTCATACGACAGGACTTAAACAGATGGACAACGCTCACATTGGATCTAAATTCAAGAGTTTCAGTCATAAAAATGCCATAACACTCTGTAAAATGTCTGATTTATCTTTGTGTGTCCATTGAAAATGTGAATAAAAAAATAAAGTGGGAATAAAAAGCGGCAAAAAGAGAGATATCCACAAAGAGAGATGCATCGATGTGCTGATGATTTCTTTTCGGCAGCTTCTTGATATTTCTCATTTAAAAGTTGCCGGTGTGCAGAAATTCTTCATTTGTCTTATCATTCAGCAATCTGGCCACGAGACAACAACGTACAGTTTCTAACGTTCAGATTTCCACTGATTGCTTGTCGAGGCTGACCTGAGGTCAACATGAACATGAACATTCCCCGACAAGACTGTGTTTGCCCTGACCCGTCTCCGGGCCGGATAGATTCTGAAGAGGCGAAGCAGGACAGCTTTCTAATTACATCTTCTCTGTGGGACATCGCCGTCCGGCTCTAATGTGGCCTGATGGGCTCCAACAGGCTGGTGACAGAACTGGAATGAGGCACGGCCAGCCCGCGACACTGAGAGACCAAATTGAAACGCTTTCCCTCTTCTTCTTTTTTTTTCACTCACCTTTCTACCGATCTCACACGTGAACCAAAACTAGTTATCATGTGTTAATAATCATATATTCCTACGTGCCAAACCTCAATTTCGTGTAGCAGAGTAATGGAAAACCAACTGAACCAACTGTCATTTTATGCATGTTGCTGATTCTGTGGAATTAAGTAATTAGTTGAAAGGGGCCTAGTCAAAACAGCAGTTTATGCATTCTTTCCCATAGAAAAACTGGTTTTAAACAGGTTTACGTAACAAGGAAGGCAGCAGCTGTTGTACGTGCTGGTTTTAGTGCAGATCTATTTGAAAAAATAGAGTAAAATAGGTCATTGTTTTGAAGCACAAACCCTGAGTAAAAACCTGGTTTTAGAGGAGGAAATCATATGAAGACATACAGGAAATCTTCAGAAAGTAGAAAAATAAAACAGAAAACCGCCGTTGGAACCAGTCAAAAATCATCTAAAGCGGCAAAGACTCTTCCAGGGTGAAAGAAGAATGTGTGTGAAACTGAGTTATGCCACAGATTTACTGATGGAGAAACAACATGTGAGTATAGAGGAAGTTCGGACAGAGTTGGAAAAGCATGCCTCTTTTTTTTTTATAACGTGTTATGTCTTTATGAGAAATTGCTTTGGGTTTATTTCAAATGAAATAGACATTGAGATGGAAAAGAAAGGAAGGTTCAAAGGGAAAGAAGGAGATAAGAGTAGAGGAGACAAAGGATAATGGAGAGAATCCTAGAAGTCTGCTTCTACACCTGCAGAAAGTGAGAGAAACAGAGAAGTGTACCTTTAGTTATTCTGCTGCTCATTCTGCTTGTCATATTCACCAAAACGAATTGAGAAGGTTTGTCTCATTTAAAACTTTCGTTTCTTTCTCGCGTATTGCTTTGTCAGTCACCTTCTTTTAATGCACACAACGGTACTGCTTTGTCAAAGTGACTGTTTTTAACAAATTCCGCTTTACATGCAAAATGATTGTTTTATTTGTGTTCAACGTCTCAATGACCTGGTTAGATACAGGTTAAAGTTGCCTTCGACTGAACAGATGATGTGACAGAAAGTGGTGTTTTCACAAAACCACAACCCCCAAATTCCCCAGTAAACAAGTCTCTTTGTTGCAGACCAGCAAGGTTACCTTTTATGGAGAGGCTGAGCCTGAGTCTAATGCAGAAGCTGCTGTTTCTGAGGCAAAACCAAGAAAAGCCGAGAATGTAGTACAGTGATCCTGGCCTGCAACACATCTACGGCTATCTGATATGTTACGGAGCTCATTGTTACTGAACTTATACAAGTAAATATTAATTCAGTGATTCAAAGGAAAGTTTAAGTCTTCCTTTTTCTGGTTTATTGTAGATGTTTGAGTGCGTAAAGGAAAATGCAGCCCCCGTTTTTTTCCCAGCACACCGATATCTGCTTGTTTTCACTTTTTGTAGAGAGATAAGCTTTGTCATGCTTCGTGTTTTGATTTGGTGCAGAATGCGTGGTGTTAGTTAATTTGTATGTAAGCAAATAAGAGCTACTTTAAGGATTTTGAGCTTCCTTTTTCAAACACACCTGTTCTTTTAGACACAGTTGTTTTTTTCTTGCTTAGATGGATTTAGATCGACACAGTGATGCAGTGGTTTTGTCACTGCTGGTTAATCTGTTGCATACCAAATGTTATCATGGTTTGATTAAAAGATACAACCGCAGAGAGCAGAGATGAGTTTTAAGTTTTTAATGAAAAAATAAATAAAGAAAGAAACTTAAAATTTGATTCAGAAAACAAAGGGTTGGAGGTAAGAAGAAAAAAATGTATGGAAACCCAACGGAAGTGGAAATTCAGAGCTGAATTTGACGCAACAGATTTCGGAAAAGTCCGAATTTCAACATGGCGACTCCCACAGACATTGTTTCCAGCTCCTCTTATGAGCATCATTTTCAGCTTTATTTTCTTGAAACTTAATTTCTAAAGTTTAGAGATGCACAAGCTACATGTGACATCGATTTCAGATACACTCTTACAAGTATACATTGTAAAGTAAACATGTTTCCATCGCAGCTCATTACGACTGCTGACTCATTTTGAAATGCGAGGTCGACCAACGAGGTAAGGCTGCTCCCACTTTCCCAGTGTGAAATGCAACTTTAGGAGAGCATTCCAGTAGATTTTTCCAACTGGGAAGTCAAAATTACCAAGTTGTGACTAAAACTGGAATGCAGCGTAAATACCAAGGAGTTTGCTGACTGGATAGAGAAACAGTGGTTGAGTTGTAACTGGACGCGGCTGTGAGAGGAGGTCATACAGGTGGACTAACAGGGCGTGGGTCCAAGTCTGATCCAAAACCAGCAACGTGGAATGGCATTGTGCCTCCATATTGGGAGAAACAGTTGGTTTAAAACATTTGGCGCCGTCTCTCCATTGCAGCTCAACGCAGTATTGGAGCAGTTCCGCTCGTCAGAAACCAGTGAGCAAAAAGCGCCTGAACCAACATAAAAGTCAGCACTCCTCTGATTGCAGTCGGTTTTCCTCCACTGCAAGGCGAAACAACAACAACGGTCCGTTTTAACGTCGTGTGACGTCGGCTGTGCCACATTTGAACACCAGATATTGTCACGCACCTCCAGATGTCCAGGACATTTTCAAATCACCACTTTGATTGGAGTTTTTATTAAAAATAGTTTTTAACTGTATTAAACAGAGTTGAGGTGTTTCATTGAAGACGTAATTGTGTGGACGAGGCCTGAGGAGAGAGACGAGGACAGAGAAATGGAGGGACAGGAGCAGGGAGTAAACATAAATCCGCTGCCAGGATTAAGAAGGTGATACACTATTAAGTTGTAAATTCTGCAGCAGGCCGACAGTGTTGTATCACTTTCTTTCAGAGTTTCATATTTGGGGGACTGTCAACATCACCGTGAGCAGATAACACGTCAGCAGCGAATTGTGCAGCGCTTGATCTTTATCTGTTGTAGCATATGCCTCAGTGTGTTTCATCACACTCTCTCCTGCAGGTTCTGCTGCTCAGATGCACAAACTACAAATAAAGACATATATTGTGCATTTGCTGTAAACGAGACAGGTGTAATTTTTGAGCAACTAAGGCCACAAACCACTGATTGTAGCTGGAAACGATAAGCCCATTAGCTCTCCTTTTATAGACTCTGGCTTGTCAAAGCATGTTTGTGGAGGGTGGTTCAGGAAACATTAGCGAAGAAACACGCACTTTTTTAACGCCTGGACTTGTCGGAGTGGACAGGAAATATCTGTCCTGGTACGTCAGGGTCTTCTGCCACGGCTGCCAGTCAAGGCTCTTCGATTGTTAAAGACCAGTGTTTGCTCTGTCAACAGGACGTGGTAAGCCAAAGTATATCGGTTTCCCACATGAACACTCGGTGCACTGCAAACAAAACTTATCTGTTTCACTCAATCTAGCGAGTCTGACCTCCTACTTTCAAACCCCGAAGAAGAAGAAAAAAAATCCTCAGAGGTCATGACATCTTCACTGCTCTGACGAGCAAAGAGGAGAGGAGATGACTTTAAGGGGTCTTACCCGATGATGTAAACCAGGACCCCCAGCTGGATGAGCCGGCACACCACTCCCACCCTCCTGTTCCTCACCAGCACCTGGCGAGGGGTCTCGTACTCGAAGAAGAAGTCAGACAGGGCGCTGGTGATTTGGTTCTTCATCTTTTTTCGCCAGCTGACCTGCAGACAGGAGGGTCTTCTCCTGTCACCTCAATCGCATATATATATACAAGAGAAAGCAGAAGAAAAAAAATCCCTCTTTCTCTCACTCTGAGTCTGTGCCTCGGCTCCTGGCTTGCAGAGACACTCCTCTGCTAACGTCTGACACGCTTCATGAGATGAAGTAAAGAGAGTTCCTCCCTCCAGCTCGGCTCTGCCTCCCTCCCTCTCTGTATACTCACGGGGGTCACCGTCTCCTCTGACTGTTGGGTTTGATCATCTTTTTTTCCTGGGTTTTTTTTTTTTGTTTTTTTTTGTTTTTTTGTGCATCCTCTTCACACAACAAGTAGATCAGAAGACACTTGTTTGACTTCTTTGAGTTAAGAACAGACTTTAGCTGTTACCCTAAGAACCGGACCTCCTCCTCACTTAGAGCAATCAAACCTTATCATTTCCACCGACGCGCTCTTCATGCATGCAAGCCGGAGATAGACACAAACACAGCGCATGCATTTAAGCTTGTTTTCCGTTTTCTCTTGTCACCATTTGCCAGAAGTTAAGCCTTCTTAAATTTTTATCTTCACTCTATGCAACTGCATCTCTCTGTGTGTGTGTGTGCATGTGTGTGTGTGTGCATGTGTGTGTGTGTTTAGGGGGGTGTTTCTCACTCAGCGTTACATTCCCTTTTTTCTTCAGGAGGTGCTTTGCATTCCTAATCTTCCCTCACACAGGATGTGTGAAGTGGCGGCTTGGAATTATGCAATAACTGAATGAGTGAAAATAAGATGGGATATTAAAGGAAATATTTCCCCACAACGATACTTATGACTTGTCCACAGAGTTTTGACATTTGGGCTCAACAACCAGCTCCAAAATCTGTTGATTTTTCTAAAATGGGGGAAAATATGTTTTGAAAATTTCCCCCGAAATGCCTGTTTGGAAGGATTTGGCAGGACTGCAGCGAATTTACAAGGATTGCAAGAAGGGTTTAATGTCGATCTAAACAATAATCCAAAATCAGTGGAGTATTTGGACTCCAAATGCTCTAATAAAAACAATATAATCTGTTGAATCTGGTGCAAAGGGCGGTTGTTTTAAAGGGACACGGGCCGATAAATGACTCGCTCAGAGGGCCGAGGCTTTGTTTGGAATTTTTTCATATCAATCGTGTAGTTCTCTGTGTTTACACCACTGCCTTTATCTTTGCCTGTGTTGTTGCAGTGTGTTTTCAGTACATGCTATTATTTAAAGTATTAGTTTGCGAGCAGAACTTGGGGAATTTATATAAATCGAGTGAGAACAACAAAAGGCAGTCGATGTGCGGTGAGATTTAAGCTGTTCTTACGTCCACAGTCATAACGCTACTACTGGTTCTGTTGTGAGGGGAAGAGAAAAGGTTAAAATATGGCCGACAGGTGGTTCTTCTCAGTCAACGTTGTTTTGAACAAACAGTCTAGTACTAAGGATCTGGAGGAGTACGCTGCAAACTGCGCTGCCATGCATCAACCACTGCACAGACACTCTCAGCACAGAAAAATGCACAAGGGTGTATCGTAAGCAGAAGTCTTGGATTCCTCTGAAGAACAGGAACGCCTCCTTCATGCTGCGGGGGATGTGGAGCTGGACAGCGACCAAGAAGGACTTCAGAATGAGAAACAAGGATCATATCTGGAGGGAGGTGTGGCAGAGTCCAGTGAGTTACCAATTACAAACCCAGGAACGGAGCTGTGGACAATGTTGCTTTGCTTACTACTCATTTTCTCACCTTTATCCACTGGCAGCATGAAGTGAAACATGTCCTTTTTCATGTTATTTCAGTCTGCCTGACATCTTCAACTACTATCCCAAGACCAAGAGTTCAAAGTGTTTGGTTTGTTTTACAAAGTAGAGTGTGAAAGAGAACGGCATCGGCTGAAAATGAAACAAATGTTGCAGCTTTGGTCCCCAAAGCGAAGTGAGTCTACCGAACTACCAGGCGTGACTGTTAATGTCCAGTGGAAGAAGTCAGAGGTTAGTCTTTGATTCTACATTTTATCTTTTTTCTTTTAGGGCTTGTCTACATCCGGATATCTACTGGTCTACAATCAGTAGCACTCATCATGAAGTATCACATCATGAAGTCACATGATCAGCTGAGAGGGCGAGCCTTGGTGCCATTGGTCCTTTAGCTTCATTCTACAACAGGAAATACTCATGGTTGACAATCTGATTTGTGAACTTAAACGTCACATTTGATTTTTCAATCCAATGGAGACTGTTTGCTTTTCACTTTTGGTTTTCCGCTTATTTCTTTCTTTAAAAGTTGCCTCCTTTGTAATGAAATAGAAGACATTCAGTCTGCTAAACAGAGTTTCTACAAAGGTTTTGGTCTGTTTACTTTTGGGAGACTGCACCCAATTCCAGCTGGCCCAATCTAATACACAAATAGAACCAAATGCTAACATGCTATGATAAAATATCCTTCTGTAGCGGTTGAGAAAAGGACGGAAGAATCACTCAGGAATCAGGATCGGTTTATTCCTGTTTAAAACACAAATACTCTCAGCACAGCGGTTCTTGGGTTCTGGCTTCCTCACAAACACCTTGATCAACCAAAAGAACAAAAAATAATCACGTTGGCACAGAAAACTTGATAGGTGTGACTAACGTGGGAAATAAATGCCCAGTACAGAGCTACGCTAAACATAAACAGTTAAAGAACAATATATATAACAACATGTGAGTTTACAACATACTTTTTAGAACATTTTCAATATTTTAATACGCAAATAAAAGACAGTTCTGTAGCTTATTTCTCCCCAGCGCAACTCGGCGCAATCTGAGGGCAGCGGGAACACACAGGATGTGACACAAAAACAGGAAGCAAGAAAATAAAAGCTTCTCCACCAAAATAAAATCAATATAAGACAGAAATAACTCTGCTGAGTGCAAAGGTGATAACAGACATGTCAATTCAAAGAAAATGAGTTTTGAGAAGGTTCGTAACGAAAACTCAAATAAATAAATAAAATTAACTGCTATACATGCAGTAGATTTAATTGTTATTAAAGGTCCTCCATCAGCATGTATAAGTATTTTTTTTCAGTAAGTAGGGAAGTGTCACCTAAGCCCAAGATTTTTGTCCATATTTGGGTAAAGACTCTATTCTCCAGACCGTAAGTCGCACCAGAAGATGCATCAGTCAGAAAATGCAGCATGAAGAGGAAAAACATAATGAGTAGCGCTGGACGACAAGTAGCAGGGCCAGCCAAATCATGAAAACTGCAACTTGTCCAGAAAGTACAGCACTTAAAAAGTACTTTGAAAAAGTCAGTACGTTAACATTGGAACCACTTTAAGAGATCATAGCCTGGTTACAATTATACTTTCATACACTGACACAACATTATAGCCACCAGCTATACCACTGAATATCTCTTCATGGTGACACCTGTTAGTGGGTGGGATATATCATATTGTTATGCCAAATAAATGGCTGCGTTGTCACAGTTGAAATGATGAAAAACATTGAACCTCATGATGAATTTCTCTGACATATAGTTTATATTCACAAGAGGCCACATCCTGCCAGCTTTTGGCTTCGAACCAAGAGGATTTCTGGATGAAGCCGAAGCACAAACACAAGGTAAACTTGGAGAACCACATATAAAGCTCGGAGACGGTAAAATCAACTAATGAAAACAGTGCATGGGTGTGTATTGTTGACGTAGTGAGACAGAGGTTATCTTAATTCACTGCCAGGTCTAACTTTCGCTGCTTCTGTCTCATAGGAGATTTTTAACTAAACCTCAACAGGGAAGCATTTGCATTTGTTCAGCAATGTGGAGAGAAAGAAATCGATTGCAGGTCAGCAGAGTGAAGCACACTGACTGACGTATCAGCAGAGGGCGTGGAAGGAGAGAGAACGGTATTTGTGCTAAGCAAATTAAATGGAATTTGTTACACAATTTCTTGCTTACAAGCACCAATTTCTCTGGAATATCTAAGCATGTTGGTGCATGAACCATTTCATTTCCTCCAATTGTAATAGTCCAGAGAGCCTGACGAAGTAACGTCACACCGTGACGGATGGCGGAGCGTGCTTCAACTGGAGCGCTGCTCCGAAAGACGGTTTGACACATTAACTCTGGTATTTAAGGGGTTTTTTTTACACCTCATTCCTTAAGACAACTGATGTTTGCAGGTGAAGCAGAGAGTGACAGCCTGCCCGTGTGATGGAGGGGAAATGGAAAGTATAGTGTTAATTTATGTCCTTATTTTCTCCTACCTGTGCAAAATGTGGCGGAGGTTTGATATGTTCAGATTTATTCTCTGCGATCGGCTGCAGAACGAATACCCCGCCTCTCATCCGATGACCTCTGGTGACCCCTGTGAGGATAAGTGTGCTAGACACTGGAGGGTTTGTTCCTTCATTCATTTTCTCTACTTTGCTGTATGTGATACTGTTTGTTTTGTTTATCTTAACAAAGTGTCAGGGTAAGAAACTTTGACAAAAAATAAATAAAAATGCAAAACACAAAGTATATGAAAATATAATTTTATCACCATATTTCTTCTAGTACAATAGGAAATCGCTACAGCCGTAAAAACACCAATTAGGTTGACTTCAGGATTCAGAAACCAGTGGACAACAATTAGATAAAAAAAAATCATTAAGTGAAATAAATTTGTTATTAAATGCTTTTTAATGATTAGAGAAACTCATGAAAACAACCATCGAAAAGAAGTAAAAAGAGCTACAAACAAGTGAGAAAAAGAAAAGTGTGGTATCTCACTAAACAACACGAGCAGTTACTGAAGAGTTCATTACTGTCATCTTTTTCCTTGTGCTTTAGCTGACATCAGACACTTATTGACTGAGGAAAGATGTGTGTAATCTTTAAACAGTGTGAAAAATCAAAGCAGAAGCAGAGCTAGATGTTGCACAATAAGCAATGATCCGCAAAATACCAGCAAATCCTCCAAAGACTGAATCAGGAAAACATTTTTTGTTGTTATTGTTTGTGTAATGGCAAAACAATGTTGTCATATAAGTGCAAGTAAATGGTGTTCTTTTCCATGGGTGACAAAGATGACATCAAAATGTGAAAATTTTTTCATATAGAACGTTTGGGATGTCTTTTTTTCCCCCACTTAATGCACATTGTGACACACATTCAGTTGTAGCCTGGAGTGTGTCTTTTCAATAATTTCTTCATTCCAGTACAATGTGCTTGCAGCACAGAAGGTGATGGCTCATGGTGGCTCAGCTCCCTGAGGATGCTAATAGTACACCCAGGCTGAAGGGTAACATCTTGGAGAAAGTTCAGTGATGTTTCCTATTCTGTATTTCATCACTGAATGCCATTATGAAATGGCAGGAATATTGACAAGGGAGTATGTGTTGAGCATGTTTGTACATTTCCAAAGTCAAAGGTGGTGCAAAATGGCAGGGCCAACATCCTGTGGGAGCTCTAGGCCCACACTGACAAATGCATTGTGGAATGCTGAGGTCATGGGGATGCACAGAGAGGTTCGTTTTCTTTATTGTAATAAAAATACACAGCAATATGTAGCAAAGGGCACTCCAGCTCCATGAATAAAAAGAGACTACTATGGGATATTACTGAGTGTAGAGGGGAGATGACGGTGGATTCAAACAAGTAATCCAGAGAGGAAACTATAAAAACCGTTTTGAATAAAACTGAAAAAAATTAAGTTAAATTAAAGAAGCTTTAACAATGTACTCTACACTTAGATGATTTGTGAAGCATTGTAAAATCTCCAAAACGATGTAAATGATGGCTGGTTTTATACAATTATGAACAAAAAACATTTCAAATATAGTAAATATAGTAAGGATATAGGAAATTGTAGGAAAGGGCAGTGGGCTTGACCCATCCATACGCATCATGTCAAAAGGCAGTAGTGCAGGAAAAGTGGGAAAAAAGAGATGATTTATAGTCTGTCTACAGTGTTGACACGTTTGACAGAAAACAGTAAATACTGATTAAATCCCTTAAATCTGTCAATGGTTTATGTCGCCCTCTGCTGGACAACTCTGGGAGGCGCTCATGTTTACATTATTGTTGGCTAACATTACAGGGAACGTTGTGATACGTTTATGCATGTGATGAAACACGTTTATTTAGAGTAACGTGAAAACAGACAGCGCACATATGTATTAGGTCAATAAAGGTTCACAATATAATATATAAATAACTTTTAATATGGAGTCAGGGCTTGGTGAATGTGGTCCTAATTATTTGCCCTCTTCATTTTTATTATTATTTTTTGTGTATTTAGTAGAATTGTATTTAAAAAAGCGACTTTTAATAGGACATAAAAAAATAAAAAGGATTTTAAAAAAAAAAAAAAAAACGAGCCGGTGACGTCAAACGTGTGCGCTTGAATTCGACCACGTGGTGACGTTTTTGCAGATGTAGCAAAACATCCGCATTGACGCTCGCGCATCCAGTCAGCGAGCACGAGGAAACTTTTCGACGTATCTGCTCACCAAAACAAGAAGCCGCCGAGGTTCTCCTATCCCGGTTCTTTCCTCCAGACCATGCCCCATGACCCCGACCTTCCTCCGGCAAAAAAATTCAAGCCGGGGTCCGTGTTTTTCCGCCTGGAGAAGAATAAACCTGGAATGCTGCTGCCCAGAAAAGGAAATGTGACCACACCGATTGACGTCCAGAGGAAACAGCTTCCAATCTACCAGGCGAGAACTCGGCTAGTGAACGAGCTGAGACAGCTTCATAACGCTATTGTTATAGGTAAAACTCAGCCACAGCCGCCGCTGGCTTTTATAACCACCGAAAGAGAAAAACGCTCATTTGTTTTCAACTTTTTTTAGTTTTGGGGAAATATTCCTGCCCTCGTCGCATGTCTTGCGCAGATAATGTCGTTTCTGTGGTTTTGTCATGTTAAACACGACCCATTCCATTCTTCCAGGTGAGACTGGCTCCGGGAAGACCACTCAGATCCCCCAGTACCTGTTTGAAGCCGGTATCGGCAGGCAGGGCTTGATCGCCATCACCCAGCCACGTCGGGTCGCTGCTATCTCACTGGCAGCCAGGGTGTCCGAGGAGAAGAGGACTCAGCTTGGGAAGCTGGTATTGCATTTTTCATAATATAACCAGAGAGACAGACTAACACAAAGTTGGTTTACAGTGTTAAATATTCACTTACCTATACACTCATACCCTTAAATAGAGTTCAGTGTTACCAGTTGAAGAAAATTTTTTTGTGAATGCTGTCTTGAGAGGAGTAGGTTGGATACCAAGTGAATTTCTATTAATAGTTGCAGTCACAACTTTATGGATGTGCTGTTAAGTGGCAGAAAACTGACACTGCACATTTCCCTGAACACACCATCGCCAGTGTTTAACATAGCGGTGGCAGAATTATGCTGTGGGACTGTGGCCTCCGAGTTTTCCTCCAGAAAACTTGCTAAGTTCAGTGGTTGTGCGCTCGGCAGTCATTCAGCCACTGTCATGTTTTTGAGTTAAAAAATGCTTGAAGTTAACAGGAAATTTGAAAATATCACTGGATAATTATGTGTTGTTGAAAGATTGGGAGAACACCAACTATAAAGTCTTAAAAAATGCAAACGTTTTAAAAAGTCTTGAATAAAATAGCCTGGTGGGGGCACAAGTAAAGCCTGGTGGCCCGCCAGGCTTATAATTCCCTGAGGAAAACCCTGGTGTCAAACTCATTTTCATTTTGGGTCGTATCAAAATCATGAATGTTCTCTCAAAGGTCTGGTTGTGCCTGAATGTACTGATAAAACCCATCAACAAACTGCTAAAATCGCTATAACTATCCTTCTCTGCGCTCGATAAGTACTTTTTAAAAGGAAATAATCTTGAACATCTATACATAACGATGCAGTTTGCCAGTTTACAGATGAAAACCGATTTGATTTGATTGATAAAAATAATATTTAAGCACACTACTGTTATCTTGAAGCCTCACTGCTGCATGTGCACGACTTCTCCTTTAAGGTTGGCTACACGGTGCGTTTCGAGGATGTCACCTCGCCCGAGACGAAGCTGAAGTTCATGACGGACGGGATGCTCCTGCGTGAGGCCATCGGAGACCCCATGCTGCTGCGCTACACCGTGGTGGTCCTGGACGAAGCCCACGAGCGCACCGTGCACACCGACGTGCTGTTCGGCGTGGTGAAGAGCGCTCAGCGCAGACGCAGGGAGCTGAACAAGATTCCCCTGAAGGTGAGGCGTCCGCTGTCAGTTCTTATTTATTTTTTTGTACCTTTTTAATCCAGAAGCATCTGAAAAGCAGCTCCTTTCTGCAGGTCATCGTCATGTCTGCCACGATGGACGTGGACTTGTTCTCGGAGTACTTCAACAAGTCGCCTGTGCTGTACCTGGAGGGGAGGCAGCATCCCATTCAGATCTACTACACCAAGCAGCCCCAGTCGGACTACGTGCAGGCTGCCCTCGTTTCTGTCTTCCAGATCCATCAGGTTGTCCTTCATTCTCTGGTTAAAAGTGATAAATCAGGACTAAAGTTGGCTGGAATAAAGAAATCAGCCCAGTTATTTTGTTAGATTGTGACAAGCTTTTCCGTGCCGCCTATTTGCAGGAAGCACCGCAGTCCCACGACATCTTAGTGTTCATGACAGGCCAGGAGGAGATCGAGGCTCTGGCCAGGACGTGCAGAGACATCGCAAAGCATCTCCCTGACAGCTGCGGCCCCATGGTGGTCATCCCTCTGTACGCATCGCTGCCCCCAGCTCAGCAGCTCAGGGTCTTCCAGCCAGCGCCCAAGGTAAAGCTGACAGCAAAAACGGCAAGAAGCCAGCTGTGGCGTCTTAAACGCTGATGAACGGTTCCTGCTTTTTGTTGTTGTGCAGGGGTGCAGGAAGGTCATCCTCGCCACCAATATCGCAGAAACATCAGTCACAATCTCTGGGATCAAATACGTCATCGACACGGGGATGGTGAAGGCCAAGCGGTTCAATCCTGGTGAGAGGCTTCAGCCTCATGCGCGTTTTCATTCATAAACTCTTCTGCTCCATATTTTAACAACTTACAACTAGAAATGCCATTGCATTTTTTAAAAAAATATTATATATTTTTTTCTTGAACAAGTGGGGCTTGTATATATTTAATCCCCTAAATTATGTCCATCACTTTTGAACATCTAGAAAAGGAATCTCCAAATCCAGGACTTGAGGGCCAGAGTCCTGTAAAAGCAATTCAGTGACTGGATAAAAATGATTTATTGCCCAGCAGTAATTTGTATACTTTCACAGTATTTGGAAAACACATAACGTCACATAACCTCGTTGCTTCCGATGCGTTTTGCCCATCAGACAGCGGTCTGGAGGTGCTGGCAGTCCAGCGAGTTTCCAAGGCTCAAGCGTGGCAGCGAGCCGGCCGGGCTGGCAGGGAGGACGCCGGCTTCTGCTACCGGCTTTACACCGAACAGGAATTCGACAACCTCATCCCCACGACTGTGCCTGAGATCCAGAGGTAGGACGCTCAATCTCCTCTGCTGGAATTTCTGAATTATTCAGGTCAGACTGATGGAAGAGGCTTTTCTGCTGCAGCTTTTCTCTCCTGTGTGTGTTTATGTCCTCCAGGTGTAATTTAGCTGGTGTGATGCTGCAGCTTATGGCGCTGGGCATTCCTGATGTGATGAACTTTGATTTTATGTCCAAACCTTCTCCAGGTAAGAAGCGGTTGCTCAGTCATTCCTGTTCAGAGCTTTGTGTTTGTTTTTGGGGGGGTTTTTAATGCGGTGGATCTGTCGGTATCGCTGTGTCCCTGTTTCACCCAGAGGCCGTCCGCTCTGCTGTGGAGCATCTGGAGCTGCTGGGGGCTGTGGAGAGGAAGGACGGCCAGGTTCTCCTCACTGCTCTGGGCAAAAGGATGGCCAGCTTCCCTCTGGAGCCCAGATATGCCAAGGTGCAGTGTGCTTTTATATAGGGCGGCGATGAACGATTATTCTGATGAATAATCGATTAATTGAATAAAACAATTGGTACATTCTGCAGTTTTTTTATTTAACCTCTTAAGCCTTTTTTATTCAGTATTTGAAATGGATTAAAAGATGCAAATAAATAATTCAGTTCCTTTTTAAATTAACATGCGGCTTAAAATGCAAGAATTTATCATTCATTTAGTTCATGCTTTTTCACTTGAATGCATCTGCAGCTAAGAAAATACTCTGAGGACTCAGGCCTTTGTGCTTGATTTTTAGCATTAATACAGAATGGGGATTATCTGTTTAATTTTGGATTATCCAATTAATAATCGGAGAGCAAAAGGGGCTCAATTGGAGGTTTGTTTGTTTTTTCACAGAATTTGAAGCAGGTGAAGCAAAAGCTCCTGCTTTGGAGTTTTTCTTAGAATATATTTAAAGTCGAGGAAGGTTTTTATCTTAAATGCAAAACGTACAAAAATATTGTACAGTTTTAGCTTAATTGCTCGGAGGGTGTTTTTTCAGCAAACGACTGGATTTTTGAGTTTATATACTCCTGTTAACGATTAATCGTTTGCAAAATTAGTTGACGATTAGTTCTATAATCGGTTTATCACCATTAACCTGAATTATCATTTCAGTTCTACTTTTATTGTAGACTTAGAACAAACATGGGGGAACATTTGGAACCAACGGCATCACATGAACAAAATTTAAAGCAAATGTATCTCACCGCTTCCCCATGCGGGTTCCTCTGTGCCGCCAGACCATCCTGCTGTCCCCGGACTTCTCCTGTTCCGAGGAGATCCTGAGCATCGTGTCTCTGCTGTCGGTGGACACCGTCCTGTTCAACCCTCTGGGCCGGCGGGACGAGATACTCGCGGCACGCAAGAAGTTCACTTCCAGCGAGGGAGATCACATGACTCTGCTCAACATCTACAGAGCTTTCAAGAAAGTCGGCGGTAACAAGGTGGGCGTGACGAGGAGAGATTTTCCCCAAAATGTCCAGAATGACCACCGCTAACCAGTTTGGGTTGCATTGTGTTGTAGGAGTGGTGTCGGGAAAACTTTGTCAACAGCAGGAATATGGGCCTGGTGAAAGATGTTCAGGCTCAGCTCAGAGAAATCTGTCTGAAGGTACAAATCTGCTTATCAGAATCACATCAGTAGTTTTTTTATTATTATTTCTATGTGAACTGTGCAATTCCTGTTTTGTTGTTAAAATAAGACTCCATGTTCAGGTTGGGGTTCTAAAATTTCTGTTCTTGTGAAATTTAGGAGAAATATTATCTGTGAGGAGTAGGAGTAGGATAGATACCAAACAGACCGGCACCCACACCATTGATTAAATCATGATTAACCACTTGTAACACCTTACCAGTTGAAAAATTTCAACCATCACTGTCACTTTGTGCCTATAAATGTTACTTTTCTACTATGTCACCAGAATAATAGCTTATATTATGTAAAACATGGTATTAGTAGTGAATGGAAACAGTTGAAAGTCTCACTTTTCTACTGATGTTTGTCATGTTTTTCTTTTATTAGTTTTAGTTGCACCTCAGTATGTTTTCTATCAAAAGGTTTTACTAATGACACAAAAGTGAAACTCTATTTCAACTGTCAACAGCCCTAAAAAGTCACTTTAAGCTGCCGATACATCTAAGGTGTATGGGAGCAAAGTCAAAGTACGCTGACAACAAAAAAGGTTCTCTTCTACTGCTAACCTTTGTGGGTAACAGAAGAGAGCGGTGAAGGATTTTATGGAGTTGATTGTATTGACACACAGACAATGTACAATAGTAAAACAACAAATTTTCTTACCTGAGAAACTTTATGCTCACAAACAACACGTGACAGTCTGGATGCTGACTCCTCTTGCACGGTTATCCACATGTCATGAACCTCGGTTTAAAGTTGCCAATTAGGGCCTCACATCTACTGAAGAGGATTCGAGAAATGAAAAAAAAAAAAGAATTCAGACTTTTTCATAAAATGTCATAATATTGAGATTGATTACAATTTTTCCCGATGACAGTAATTGTTTTTTTATTAGCATATTCATATACAAGGCATTTTTGAGAAGAAAACAGCAACTCGTTTTTACATACACTTTCATTACTATGTTACTATTACTATAGTAATGGTGATTCATTTTTGAGAAACCATGACTCAAAGGCTTTGTGTGTCAGAAAGGTATGTTTTAAAGGGGTGCGTTGTGATTTTTTTTCTCTTTCTTTGAAGATAAGCCAGGTTTTCCGAGACTAGAATGCGATGAAATTTGTGATCCAACTCTTATTCGTTTTGCTTGATCAGTGCAGGTACTTGATCTTTTGTCTTAACAAAGCGCTTGTCTTTCCCAGCTGAACCTGAAGCTCGAGTCCTGCGGGGCCGACACGGGGAGCGTCCGCCGCTGCCTCGCCCATGGGATGTTCATCAACGCCGCCGAGCTGCAGCCCGATGGAAGCTACCTGGCTCTGGACACCCACCAGGCCGTCGCCATCCACCCGTCCTCCGTCCTGTTCCAGGCCAAGCCGGCGTACGTGGTCTTCAACGAGCTGCTGCACACGTCCCGCTGCTACATGAGAGACCTGTGCTTGGTCGACGCAGACTGGCTGCTGGATGCAGCGCCGGAGTACTTTGGCCGCAAGCTGCACCTCACCAGGAGCTAACAGGATTGCACTCTTGAATAAATGAGGGACTTTTAAACCTTTTGGTGTCCACTACCTCCTAGCTGACATGGGATAAGAAAGTCTGAATGCAGCTGTACAAATCTCTTTCAGGATCTGCATGCATTTCAGGGGCACAGATAACTTCACTGGAGCACAGTTGGCAGGACTCAGAAGAGCCAAACTTCTGGACCTCGGCTGCACGTTTCAGTGTATCTGGATTATAGCAGTGACTGCCTTCAAAACGTTAGCTTGAAGATCAGTGACGTCCTCAACCTTCTCAGCAGGTAGTTTTTAGGTTTATACGGATAGTCTTTGAGAATTTTCTGCAAAGACGGTAAAATCTGTCATAATCTGTTCGACAGAACAGAAATTCACGTTTGAATTAAATGAAAATATTTCCATATTCTAATGGCATTGCTACGTTGGCTCGTGCATGTAAAACCTGGACATTGCATATGAGAGTATGTGGCTTGCCTTTTCTCTTCATGCTCTACTCCTCAGTGTGTATTGGGACAGATTGTTACCTAGACAACACACAGATGCTGGGTTATTGTAGCTGCTAGACATCTAATGTATGCAGTGCATGGACATAAAAGTAAAATATCTAAAATATAAGTTATGTTGAAAAATATCAGTTTTATTTTTTACTGTGGACTCAGGTTTGTACTATATATATTTATATATATGTATATATAACCTTAAAATAAATGCACCAAATTCCAACTGCTGTAGCTGATGTATTTTGAGGTTCCTGCAGAGAATTAAAGCTACAGTTTTGTTTTTTGTTTTTTTGTTGTTTTTTTTTTGACTGAATTACCAAGGGATCACTCTTACTGTGACGTCTGCAACTAGAGGTGAAGCTTTTGAAGTCAGCAAATACTTCATGTGCATGCATGTAATTTGTAAGAACAAATGCAAGAATTGAATGAATTCATAAACTGTGTATATGATAAGAATTTGTTATAGTCTTGCATAGCCAAAGTTGTTTCTAATAAAAAAAAACTGTTTACACTTGTCCAAAACACAAGTTTATTACGTGAAAGTATTGAATTATGTTCTCAAAACAAAATTAACTGATTTACTATTAATTTAGTTATATTTAAGAGATACTACAGCTCTGTAAAAATAAATCCCCTGTACATATTGACATACATTTTCCAAGCAGCTTCTTACCTTATTTTAACTATTGTATCTCATCATTTTGATAAAGATATTGCATATTTTTAATGCATCTCTCTCATATTTATGAAAAAATGTCTCATTTTTTCCATTGTTTTCACCGTCATCATTAGAAGACATTCATAATTTTGACTTGGGTATCTCAGTTATGGAATAATGTCTCACAATTCTGAGACAGTTGAGTTATTTTAGATCTAGTCAAAAATATGATTTGTTTGTACTGTTAATAATCAATTTTCACATTTGTTGGCAGTCATAAGTACAAGTTACATAATATAAAACAGAAACAATAAAAATTTATAAAAAATATAAAATCCATAATAAATTTGTTTTACTCTTATTACAATGGTAAAAATGGGCTCCACGTTTATTCATTTATGCCAAGGATTGCATCATGCATCTCGTAGGAAGTGATGGTACTGTGTTTCATGATCAGACACATGACCAAGTTGGAAACATATCAGTTTTAATGCGAGCAGACATTCTAGATTTGATTTGTAATTGGATATTTAAGTCACTGATTGAAGGAGAGAAGAGTCGAAAATTATGAAACCATCCTGGCGGAGCAGAAGCACCGCTTCATGTAGTATCTATTGTAGCCACAGGGGGCGCTGATCAAATGACTTTTCTTTTTAAATAAATAGTTTTTTTGTTTGTTTGTTTAGGTTTTTCTTCCTTTTTGATAAGTTGTAAATTGCTGATATATTCAGATTAGTTTTGGATAAACGGAATATTTTTTAAATCTTTTTTTAATCGTTAAAGTATTACTTCCGGTGCAAACGTCAAAGTTAAGCTAGGTCAATGTGTCCTTCCACACGTGTAGCGTATTTCTTGTAGCGGCAGCAGGAATCGTGAGGCTCACAGCGGACTCTTTGGTCTTAAGCTTAATTATCCTGTTTCTAAAAAGCTTCTTATATCCACACAGCCATGCTGAAATCGGTTGTCCGCGCGGTGGGAGCGGCTGTTCGCCTTTCTTCAGCCGCTTCGTCAGCAGCGCGAGCCCTGCCGCTTAGCTGCCCGACGTTGCGCTCTCCAGGCTCGGCTACGATTCGGCCGTTCACCCGCTCACTATGGATGTTGAAAAACAACGGAGCTTCGTCGGGATACAGGCCCAAGCTGTTGAGCTCGAAGGTTTTAAATCCGTCAGTATCGTGTGGATGTGGAGGACTACACACAGAAGGTAACGTTAATGCATTTGACCCATTTAGTTGAGTTAGCCAACCAATTGGCTGTTCAGTTCTGTAGTAAATAGTTTAAATAACGGAGCCTAATTAAATGCCATCTGTTGGGCTCCTAAAAACACGTGAAACGTAACCTGTGTAGAGTTCTTGTCTCATGTAAAGTCTAACGGTATCCTTACACTAATTAGCTGCCGTTTACCTTGAGATTTAAATTTGTTGTTTTTAGCTAGAACCGTAAACGCTTAAAAATGAAAAGTACAGCTCCAAGTTTATATGGTTTATTATGTACTAACAGTAAACGGCTTGGTGAGGGCCAAATGTCTCTACAAGGACGTCATTGAAAGTGATGTAGGGCGTCTGTAGCATCCTGGACAGACGCATTGATCAGACTTGTTCCGGTTTATTTTCTAAGGGCACATTACTATGAATGCAATCAGATTTTGATAATTGTAGTAATTTTTAGTGCAACAAAAAATGCAGGAATCATAAGGCAATTGGCGTTAATCATTGAGTGTTTTTTTTGTCAACTCAAAATAGAGTATGATGGGTATAGGTAGCAGGTGGATGGATGCATTTACTGGCATTTAAAATTAGTTCTGGTTCACCTAATATATCTAAATAAAAATACATAAAATTAGAAAATTTAGAGTATTTGAGCATCTGATCAAGAAAAATTAGGTTGACTTAATTCTCTAGCCTGTTTGTTGTATCTACTATCTAGTGATGAGTGTAGGGTTATAATAATGAACACTATTTTTTTCCCCAAATTGAGTCAGTCACAGCTAGACATGGGCTAGTAAGATATTATCATAACATTTATGACCCAGTTGTTCTATTTCAAAATGAAAAACGTCATTCCACTCTTCCTAAAATAAGAAATATTTACAGCTATAATCTAATAACATTGATATTTATGTCATATTTCAATTTTAATATATAGAATTACACAAGAATTATAGAATGACCACCATTTTGCTGTTCTGTTTTCAAATACTAAGGCTGGGAGTACAGCAATCTGATATTAGCTGGTTAGTCTGACTGTCTTAATTTATCTGTTGCATATTTAAAACAGGTGACAAAGCGTTTGGCGAGTTCCTGTCTGATGAAATCAAGGAAGAGAAGAAGATCCAGAAAAACAAATCTCTCCCTAAGATGTCAGGAGGCTGGGAGCTGGAGATGAACGGCACAGAGGCCAAACTCACAAAACAACTTTCTGGAGAAAAGTAAGGAAGCCAATATTTCTATTAAACGTCTTTCCACCAAACCAGCTTCTGTATCGAACCAGTTTTATGGCTGTTACAACAATGTAGTTTTTTTGTTGTTGGTTTCTTTACGTCCACTTTCTGATGAAAGTAGTTCTTTCCTCTGACTCAGCTCAGAGTTGGTTCTGCACTGGAACCAGTGCTCCCAGTGTTGGAAACAGAAAGAACTGCAAGCATTAGCTGCAGTAAAAAAAAAAAAAAGTAGGTTTGGGAAAAGTCATTCTTTTAATGTGCTTTATATTTTTCCACCCCTACTATAGAATCACTGTGACATTCAACGTCAACAACAGTATTCCTCCCAACTTTGAGGAGGAGGCGGAGCAGGGACAGCAGCAGAAATCTCCTGAGGATGAGGTGAGCCAAAACATTTTTTGTCTTCTTTGATGTAATAATTGCTGGCTGTTCTTATATTTCCTTATTCATCTGAGAAGTAGAATGATAGAATTGTCTGTGAATATGAACGTCTACCTCATGACAACTCTGTTTTCATTTTACAGCCAGAAATTGTGTCAACACCCAACTTTGTCATTGAAGTTACAAAACAGGGGGGCAAACACTCCCTTGTGTTTGACTGCCATTTTCCTGAAGATGAGGTAAAAAAAATTTAAAATATTTAAATAAGATTTTAAAAAAAAGTTGTATTTAACTTAAAAGTTTAGTTTAATTTAACTTGGGTATTCTTTACAAGTCCTGGAAGTTTTAAACTTGGGTCACAGTTGTGTGAAAAGTCTTAAATTTAACCCACTAAATCTCCCAGAAGCCAAGATATTGGGTATTAGTTTTTATTTACAACTTCTGAATTTTGTGTGTGTGTGTGTGTTGTAGATGAGCCATGGTGAGGGTGAGGAGGAGAGCGATATCTTTGCCATCCGGGAGGTCAGCTTCCAGCCGGAGGGAGATTCAGACTGGAAGGAGACCAGTTACACTCTCAACACAGACTCTCTGGACTGGGTATGAGCAGAACTCGTACCTACTATGCAGCATAGTATGTTGAAAAAATATTCATGTAGAGCTGCTACGTCTGTTTTCAGGCTCTGTATGACCACATGATGGACTTCTTGGCTGACCGCGGGGTCGACAACACTTTTGCTGATGAGCTCACGGAGCTGAGCACGGCCATCGAGCATAAGGAGTACATCAAGTTCCTAGAAGATCTGCAAAGCTTTGTCAATTGCAAATAGTGTCGAACGAGATTGTCATAGTTGTTAGTGTGCAATCTGACAAGGACAGTGGTATGACGCAGTGAAGCACTCGGTGATGGATGGATCTAAAACCACAAAGAGACTGAGTTGGTGTGTGGGAATGTTGCTTTTTTATTATGGCTTAGTTTAAACCAGATCATTTCAATTTGTCTGGACATCATCATGACAGTTGTCAGAAACCATCATTGCTCTCAATTTTGCAGAACCTGACTCGGCTGTGGATGTTTAATGTGACCTGATCAATGGCTTTTTTTTTTGTGTTCCGGTTTTCCAATCATCATGTCTTCATGTCTTCTCCCCTCGCTGGCCAGGGAACAGAGTTCTTGCTGAATGGTTGTGGTTTGTCAGATTCAGAAGGTCTGGTAATGGATGTTCTGTAGTGTGAAGCTGGAAATACTGTTCAATAAACAATTTGATACCCAAATGTAAATTTAGTTTTCTCTTTCTATGAACATTTTACATACAAAGATATTGGAGGTTGTTCCTCCCACTTGTTTGCCTTGTTGGTATGTCAGAATAGATCTCGTGATAAATGTTTAACAAGATGAGTAATGTACTTTGATTTGAGTTCTTGCCCCTAGATGTCACTATATCCCACATAAAGAACACTGAAAAAAAAAGTTCAGGGTAAAAAATTGTTCTGATAAATAGTTGGTCCCATTTGGCTTTAATCTGTTGCAATATAACAAAAAGCTAATGTGAGTTTAAGTGGTGAACATGCTAAAAAGGATTTAAGCATTAGTTCTACATCAACTTTATTTTGAAGTTCCTAATATATGAGACTGTAGCTCATAATTCATTTATATGTTCAGAATCAGAATGTGTGGAAAAAATTTCAAAAGAAAACAGGTGAAGGTTTAAGAGTTATGTTAAATTTGGAGCACTGAACTAAATAACCAGTGCATCACACATTGCATGTTTGCTTTATTCTAATGTTTGATTATTAACTTACAACTATTTGAAAATTATCTTTTTGGAATCAACATGGAGACTTGCACATTTGCAAGTACACATGTGTACTTGCAAATGTGTATGCCTAGCTATTAATGTTCTGCAATTTGCATACATATTTTTTTCAGGTTAAACTGAACTGAATTTTATTTTTACTATTTTCTCCCGTTTGTGGAGTTATCAGTAAATATCAGTAAATTTGAAAATGATTAAATCCAGGTTATTTTTGCAAGTCAGTATTATAAATCATACTTTAAGAAAGTGACATCCTGAAGAAGCCGATTTCAAATGGGAACGGTTTTTTCAAGAGCAATATTTGTGTTTATGGTGCCATGCCATGCCAGCCATATAAGTATCTAAAAAGGAGTAAGAATTTCTTTTACCTTTATCAAAATATCACAAAATATCGTGAATATGTCAGAATATGTTCTATATACTACTAGACAATATAAGTATCGTCAAATAGTACGATAATTCTATAAAACGATTAGATTTTATTTTTTCTTTAATAACAAAATAAATAAAATTCCAGCCCTGCCAAAAATAGACCGCATAGCACTGTAGGTCAGTATTTGAGACACTGTTTTGATCATGACTAATAATTAATGCCGCAGCATTTTGGACCCTTAAAGATCCTCCGAGTTGTTTTCGCGTGAAGACTTTACGGATCAGGAAGTTGACACGCCGACAGTCTGCTCTGACACTGCCGTGCTCCCGCCCAGAGCGCAGAGGTGTGCGGTCGCTGCTGCTGGAAGGAGTCCACCCTGGTCAGGTAGAATCATCCAGCGCGGGTTGGAGGGGGAGAGAGGCAGAGCCGCTGCATGCCATGGCGAGAAACGGCAGCGTGTGTTCGGCCGCGCGGAGCCAGCTGCAGGACTCCTCTGAGTCGGACTCGGAACCGGAGGGGGGTCCTGCTCGTCCGACTGGAGTCGAACCCGCGCCCGGCTCTTTCGCCCGCACCCAGGTGATCCACAGCGGACACTTCATGGTGTCGTCGCCGCACAGCGACTCTGCGGCGCGCCGCAGGAAGAGCGGCGGCTCGCTGCGGTACGACTTCGACACGGTGAACAGGACGTGGTGCCAGACCTACCGGTACCACTCCGGGAGCCTGAGCATCGACCCCACTCTCACCCGGCTGTTCGAGTGCATGTCTCTGGCTTACAGGTGAGTTCTGCAGCCTGGTCACGGGACCGGGTCATCAACTAACCTGAGCTCACAGATTATTGACCATAGAAAAGTGATTTGTGTGCACTTTAGTGCTGAATCTCACATAACCTGAACCACCCGCTTTATTAACACGCATTCTCAGTTTTAAATTCAGCTCTTCCAATGAAATGGAGAAAGTATTCTGCAGACTAAAAATGACTTCAAGCTTTATCACAAATGTATCAAAGCGCCTCTAGCAACCTGCAGTGAAGAAAGTCTGCATAAAAGTATGTTTTCCAACAGATTTCCCCTTTTAACTGATAACTGAGGCTTGTAGATGTTTCTCTTACACAACAGCCTGGAAAGTCTTCACTGTACACTGGACTTTGAATCCAGTTGGCAGGAATGGAAAGATTACAGAGAAACTGAGGCAAAGGGGGAAAGGTCATGTAATGAAGGCCCACTGCTGTTTATTTCTTTTCTTTTCTTTAATTTAAGGCTCACAGCTGCTTGTTTAATGATGCAGCTACATATTGCAGTCACTAATATAAGAAATTCAGCTGGTCTTTTGCAGAAAATGCTAAACTCCAAATATAGATTTACTCGAAAAGCTAAAATATTACAAAAAATCAACTATAATCTATAATATGTTTAGTCTATCTACTGTCCTGCACACAAAGCAGATTAAATGAGTTTTCAGAAAATAACTTGCAGACATTTTAACCCACTAAAAGCATGTTGATAATGATTCGCTGGGCTTCCTAGCAACACCTGGAGCACCTCACATTAGCAGCCCTTTTCTCAGCACTCTGCAGGCGGAGGGATCCTAGAGTAAAAAAAAAAAAAAAAAAAAGGGGCAAACATCCTGTCTGAGTAGTGAGAAAGCAGTCAGTCAGGTGCTATTAGTCAAATTCAGGACAGGTTTCCCGCAGGGGGGAGACAGTCAGGCAACAGTTTGTTTTTCAGCATTCTTCTTCTTTAAGATGTAACTCATATTTCACTTTTTTCTTTCTTTTTTTTTTCTTCTTTGCTCCACCACAGTGGGAAAATAGTCTCTCCCAAATGGAAGTCGTTCAAGGGCCTGCGCTTGCTTTGGAGGGATAAGATCCGTCTGAACAACGCAATATGGAGAGCATGGTTCATTCAGTGTGAGTCTGCACGTCCTCTCTTCCGCTCCCACCTGCTGCCCATTATAAAGTGAGAGATTAGGAAAATAAAAGCGGACAGGCCATCTAACACAGCTGTGAAAAACGATTTCCCGTTTTCAATTTTATTTATACCGTTTTTGCTTCTTTTTTTTTTTGTTTGTTTGTTTTACCAATGGAGGAATTTTGGCCCATTTAATTCAGTCACATTCCAACACAAGCAGTCTGTTGAAGATGGCGATGCACTGATCCAATATTAATATCTGTGTCGGTCCCGATATTGAAAAAAAAAAATTCCAGATTGAGTAATGTGACAGTGTGCCTGATTCATCAGGGCAGATAGATCTATTCAGTCTCATTCTATGCTTTGTGCTCTGAGCGATGTCAGGCTTTATTTATTTTAGATTATATGTAGAATTCTTAATGTAACTTTCTGAACCATTTGAAAGGTTTGCTGCAGTTTATTTTTACATGTTTGACCAAGATAGTTAACCCATTCTATTTGTCAACTTCAGTTTCTTCATTATTTATTTTACATTGGCTGTTATTCTAACAGTCATTATACTGCTTGGTTCTTAGAGATGAGTAGGCATCACCACAAGGGGGCGCCTATTCCCTTTTTCCTTGGTTGTACTACTGTACAGAATAAGAACTCGTCTTCCGCGTTGTAGGGAGGAGAAACATCGGTGATGATGAGGCGGTGCAGAGCGGTAAACTGTCGTTACTCTTCTCATGTATGAGACTATAACTAGATATTTGGCTTTACGTGGACGAAGTGAAATAAAGTTAAAGTGCGCCTTCTGTTTCGGGTTAGCGTGGCTAACCGCCGCTGCTAACTCCTTGTCCAACTTCTCACCGCACCGTCACATTATGCTAATTGTATTGACTGAACAAATTAAATTTGTTTTTACATGTTCGACCAGCTATTGGTGTATTTAAATGTGCTGTACTAGTGCAGGTTTATCAAATAAATGTTTAATTCTGTTCATTTATGTCTGTGTTTAAAAAAAAAGTTTTAAGTCAATTCAGCACTGTTTTTCTGTATCGGATACTAAATCTCAGATATCGGCATCGGAAGTGAAAAAAGTGTATCAGTGTATCAATAGTGTAAGAACACACTGCAGCTCATCTGAATTATGACAAGGCCGCTGTCTGTCATAAAATCCTCTTAAAATTCACCAAATTGTGAAAATTTTGAGTTAATGGTATGAAAACTGTTTCACTGCTCTATACTGGATTCCAGGAATACAACAAATACCACGAGAAAAGAAAAAAAAACAAACAACAAAACACTTTACCTGCCTTTTAAAATGTTTCCTCTCCTTTTCATAATACTTGAAAAACATTTTCTTTTCCAGGAACATGTGCAACCTTGTAGAGTCTTAAATCATCTTTCTTTTCAACCGGTGGGGACAGTTCAGGACCGCAGACGGACCTGTACTCAGAACCCTGAATGTCTTTGTAATATGTGTGTGGAATGTTGCCTTTGTGCTCTGAAGGTGTTGCACAAAAGGCGTTGCCTTTAAATTTGTGCTGGACATCATCACTTCATCAGTGCTGCAAACAAGTCACAGGGCAACAGGGACTGACATATCTCAGCTCTATCGCATAGCCTGACTTGTTAAAAGTAACGGATAGCTCTTTGTAGATCTTTCTCAGACAGGTGGAATTGGATTTTTTTTTAAATATGCAAGATGGATAAAAAGATTAAACATGGATTTTTTTTTGACACGATGGCAATCAATAACCTTCAAGCAAAAATTGAAATTATTGACTGGTTGTGAGTTTAGCGGGAGAGTTTTTTGTTTCTTGTCTTTTCTGTGACGGCCAGGCGATGCTAGCTGAAAGTTGAGGTGTGGTTTACAGAGGATTCTGCCTTCAGGTCGTCCCGGCGCCTGCAGGTCGGACTGGAATCTCTTGCCTCTTGGAGTAAAAATAGCTCCTCGGTCTACACATGTAGCGAAGGAAACCTTCTGGGAACATGGTAGAGTGATCCATGCACAGCTTTAGCTTGAGAAATATGGATGGAACCATCTGCAGGGGATGCTGTTCATGAAAAACACAACGCTTCTTGCAGATGACCAACAAAAACACAGAGACGTCAAACATATCTGACGCTAAATTAACAAACATGATTTACATCTTACATGTTAGTAGAAAGTTGTTTCCTGAACTAGTGGAAGTGATTGTTTCAGTGAAAACATAATACAATGTCAGAATATGTTGAAACCAGACATTTATATACAGACGCATTCAATAAATTGGACTATAATTGAAAAACCCATTTATCTTAGGAACTTTTATCACAAAGTGAAGCTCATTATATAGATTAATTATGATTAATTTCTGTTAATTGCTATAATTTTTCACTTACAGTAACGTATCTGCAAAAACCCCCAAAATCTTATTTGGTCTGATTTCTAGTGCTAATATCTTTGCCCACTTTAAAATAAGACAGAACTTATTTACAAGTAACTTTTCTGCAAGATAAGCTTGTCAATAACTCATTATTAGTCATTAAATAAGTACCAGTTCCACTGGCAGATTATTTCACTTATAACAAGAAATGTTTCCCATATTATAAGAGGAGTTGGACTAGTACTTTTTTAATCAATAATAGGGAATTATTGACTTAAAACAAGCTCTTAAGTCTTGCTGAAAAGTTATTTGTAAGTTAGTTTTGTGTTATTTCAAGTGTAATAAAGTTGGCAAAATTTAGTGTGTTTTTTTTTTGCAGTGACACGGGACATTTAAAATTAGGATATTCATTAATAAAGGAAACCATTTTTAATAGAAAAATATAGCTTTAATGAAAAGTATGTTTAATTTATACTTAAAGATTGTACATTTTCAAAAGGTATTTTTGGTCTCATCTGAACGTATACTCTAATGTATGTTCAGTAAGTTGTTCTTGTGTCTTTTCACAGCTGGCATCACTGTTGCCTTTCAGACCTGGGTTGGAATCCCGTGATGTTTTTGGCTCTTACCAGATTGCACATAAATGTCTTTTTTACAGTATAATGCTGGTTAGCTCAAGCTAAAACCTAAAACATACCTGCTCTGTATGTTTTACCCTCAGATGTGGAGAAGAGGAAGAACCCGGTGTGCGGGTTCGTCACGCCGCTGGAAGGCTCAGAGGCAGAAGCTCACCGAAAGCCTGAGGTGAGCGATTCAAATGAATTGAGTGGTGGTTAGCTTTCCTTCTCTGTTGAACATTGGATTTCTCCGGTGTTGGAACAACAGGCAATCATTTTGGAGGGCAGCTACTGGAAGAGGAGGATTGAAGTGGTGATTAAGGAGTACCACAAGTGGAGGATTTATTACAAGAAAAGGGTGAGTGTGAGTCGGCTCCATGTGTTTCCATATGTTCGGCTTAGAAATCTAGGAGTTGCAGAGTTGTTTTTTTTCTTTATTTGTTTGTCCTAAATTATACTCAGTTATCAGTATGTAATGGAGTAAACACAAGCCTGGATAGATGATACAATCCTGGATGCCTCATTACATTTTCAATTTGTTATTAATGTAATTATTATTTTAAAAAAAAAGTTTGCTAAAACTGTCAGTGTTGTAACATGGAACTGAAAATCTTTGAAGAAAATCAAGCTGCTTTCACCCTGTGGTCCTACTGCCATATGCAGAAATGCACCGCTCTGAAACAACCAATCAGAGCCAGGAGGAGTATCTTAACGCTGGCAATCATCCAGCGATTTATATATATATATATAAGAATTTCTCAATTTTTATTTTCAGATTTCTCAATTCTGAATATTATTTGCATATTATTTGCTCTGCAGGAAAACTTGTCTGCTTTCTCTGCCATTAAAGAACTGGAAAGGGTCAATTTTTTTGTTCTTTGTGTCGACTGTCAGACTCACTTATTGTAAATCAGACTGTAATGCTTCTCTGTTTCTGTTTTGCAGCTTCAGAAGAAAAAGGATGACATCCTGTCGATGCTGCAGGAGGTATGCCATCTGATCTGACAAGTCATTGTCTATTCTTGCTCCTGCGTTTCTTTCTGTTTGTCTTGTAAGTGCATCAAGGTAGAGGGACATCGATTTTATTTATTTATTTATTTTTTGACCATCCGAGGCTGAAGCCGGCTGCCTGACCCGGTCCGCTTCGCGTGGGCCAGTGACCTGCTTCGTTATTATTCGCACCTGAATGCATTATAAGAACATGAGGAACGAGTCTCCTTCTGTTAACTAGATAGAAACTAGAAAAAAAGGATCCGCAGGGGCAAGAAAACAAAACAACACTTGAGCCGTGCGTCATAGCCTGACATTTGTAGGTAATTGACACAGTGATTACCAGGAACTCTCAACACCTCTCGTTCCTTTTTAGGGGGGTTTTAATCTTCATTCAAGTGAAATTGCTTCAAAATGTAATGTCTCTTTTTATTTCTTCCTTTTTTTTTAAATGTGACCTACTTGCAGCAGGGCTTTTGTCAGACTTGAGCAGCAGAGGTGCTGCGAGTTTGTTCGTGACGCCATAGGATGCAGAAACCCAAAGTGCAGATGTAATTCGGCAAAGAAGCAGGAGGGAACCTCATGAATGACGGCTCAGTCCTGTGAATGAAGCGGCGGCGGATAAACTGAGCTTCCCCTCCGGCGCCGAGAGGCTCTGTTTAGCTGAGTTAAAAATTAAGAACGCTCCGGTAATGAGTCTGTCTCCTAGCGTCCGTGCGATCAGATTCTGCACGGTACTTAAAAGGGGACATATCAGCAGCTGGTCAAAGATCGCTGCTTTACGCTGCCATGTGTTATCTGGCCATCCACCGGTTACATCCAGAGGCTGGAAAAACACACAAGCGAAACCAAACATCTATTTTTGTTCCATCAAACTAGAGTTTTTCGGTCTTTCATCTCACTAGGTCTCTGTTTTAATTTGGCCAAAATCTATAGAGCCAAGTTTTTTTTATTTATTTCCAGTTTTATGCAGTAAAAGTTGTGTTTTAGAATCCAAGAAATATCTTGTAATCTGGCTGTTTAAACTATTTCGCAAAGGCAAGTGCAAAAAAAAAAAAAAAAAAAGATCACTCCCATTAGTTTTGGGAATCGTGAACAAATCTAGAGTTGTATTTCATGAACATATTTATAATGTTTGGAGGGAGGCAGAAAACCAAACATAGAAAAGCTAATAGTTTATATTCTAGGGGTGGAAATCGTTTATTATCTCATGATTTGAATCCGATTTTTAAAGCCAACCTTTCGATTCAAAATCGATTTTTGAGTCAAAACAATTGCGCTCAAGAACCACCTCTAGATTCCTCCTTTACACAAGGTTATTTTTGTAAACTTAAGATTTTGTGGTCTAATTGCCAAAAATGGTTCCTTTTGATTATTTAATTAAGGAATAGACACATCTACGTTTTAAAAAAAGGTAAAATAAGTTAGATCATGTTGTGAAACTTTTGCTATAGAAAGAAATCGAATTATGATAAAATGAGTGCAACTAACCAAATATTAAGACTGAGAAATGTAAATCGTTTTTGTAAAATAACATCCTTGCTTATTTTTTCTTGATGTTAGCAACGTCTCTTGCAGAGAGATTTGTTGATGCTGAAAGTCTGAAAACTAATAGGGGCGGGGGCAGTTGCATAAGACCGTTGGGGGTATAATGTTCTTCGGCTTCAGAAGTGTGTTTCATAGCATAAAATTGCTAATAATTTGTTGATGTCATCATTTCTGCTCCAGTGATTCAGAGATTCTAGCTCTCTGTAATCAGGGCTGAAAAGCTGCGATCGCCTGGGCGGGGTAGGCCGTTCAGTCAGACTGTTGCTCAGGATGACCACCAGCTCAGAAAAGGAGGCAAGAAAACAGGAAAATTACGTGTTGATTTGAGGTTTTATAAATGAAAATGAATAATTTTTCAGGGTGAATTATCCAAAATAAAACTCAAGTGATTTGAGATAAAAGAAATTTAAAATAAAGCTTCTAGAATGGTCATGATGTCAACCATAGTTTCTTCTTTCTTTCTTTTAAGCAAATTCCACATGTTGTGGTTTCATGACTTGAAATTTGGCTCCAGTGATTCTTCCTCACGGGCCGCATCTAAAATTAATCACCTGAAGTGATTCGAGGTCAAACCAGAGGCTGTTTTTTGCAAATATGATGTTGATTGATAAGTTCAATCTAGGAATCCAGTTACACTGAATGAAACAGAGATGGAAGATGAATCTTTGTTCGTTCTTCCTTCGTTTCATTTTTTTTTGGAAGCGGTCTTTATTATGAGGTACCACTCAGATGCAGGGAACCCAAAACGTGTTCTATCAGAAGTAGGAAATTTTGACGTTCCTACGTATGCGTGCGCGCGCGCGCGCGCGCGTGTGTGTGTTATCCCTATTTAACCGGGCGCAGTTTGACTGGCCGGGTCTTCCTGTTTGCATGCACGTGTGTGCAGCTCCCAGAATTAGGTCAGGGACAAAAGGCTGTCGGCGGTTTCGAAATATTGAGACGTCAAAATGAAACCACATAATGATAACCTGTTGGGGGCCTTGTGTTTTTTGACAATGTGTTTTTTTTTTTTTTTTTTCATAATGGGCTTCACAAACACACACACAAACACATGCATGTGCATGCAAAACTCACCAATCTCCTCAGAGGGGATGTCTCAAACGTAATCAAAGGAGCTTCCGGCTCAATCTAGGCTTCCCTATAAGACCGGCTCCGGGTCTGGGCTTGGTGGGTGAAGATGACAAAGACGGTCAGGGTGAAATAAAGCGCTGTGTGCAGAGGGAGCGGACCGAGTCATGAGCTGCATTTTCTGTAAGTTTTACTTGCTTTCCAGAATACGGCGGCTCTTTAACATAAAGCGTTTTTAACTGACTGGTGCTATTAAGGGGGGCGGAGTGTAGTTTTGTTTGTAAAAGGATATTCAATTGTAAATCTTTTTTGTAATGCATGAATTCAAATATGTTGAGTTTTAGTTTTTGTTATTATGAGTTAAAGTAATTTTGCAACTAAGAATTATTTCTTGGTTCAGATTAGAGGTGGACATTTATCGTATCGTTTATAATTTATCGCATCATGTTAGGAATTTTGATTTATTATTGTCATGATAGAGTTCAGTCATTGTTGGTATATAAAAAAATGTGCACTGCATTAGTAAATATCAGTACATTTGAAAATATGACTAAATGCAGTTACTGTGCAGCAGAGTGAAGTAAATCACACTTTGTAAATGGACTGAACTTATATTAGGCTTTTTCGATCTTCTTAACCACTCAAAGCTCTTTGCACTGGAGTCACATTCACTTATTCACACATTTATACACCGATGCGCAGATCGGTAGGCAGTTTGGGGTTAAGTGCTTTGCCCAGAGGCACATCGACATGTGGCAGGAGGAAGCTGGAATCGAACCTACAACCTTCCGATCACAAGACGACCAATCTACCCACAGAGTAGAAGCTTATCGATAACAGGAATATTTTTCAAGGACAATATTTGTGTTTGTGGAATTATGAATGCTGTGCCATGCAGTCAGTCAGTCAGTCATTCATTCATTCATCCATCCATCCATCCATCCATCCATCCATCCATCCATCCATCCATCCATTTTCTTTACCCCCTTGTCCCTTGGTGGGGTAGGGAGGGTTGCTGGTGCCTCTCCAGCTAACGTTCCGGGCGAGAGGCGGGGTCACCCTGGACAGGTCGCCAGTCTGTCGCAGGGCAACACAGTCATAAAGTTACGTAAAAGAGAAGTATTAAATAGTTTTCCATCAAAGTTTTCAGCACTGTCACAACATCACCACAAAATATCATGATGACATTCTAAATCCTGTAGTTCAATTTTCATGAGAGTCATCATCGCATCGCTCTGGCCTCTGCTCGTTTGCGTCTTGGCTTCTGATGACGTTTCTCCGTCTTTCTCCTGCGGTGCTGCAGGGGCAGACCTGCCAGGCCAAGCTGGACAGATGGTCCAGTCACTCCTACCAGCAACCTGAAGTCGCCCCTGTAGAGGCCCACATGTTTGACCTGGACTGCCTTCTGTCCGACATCTCCGACACGCTTTTCACCATGACCCAGAAACCCTGTCCCTGGACCAGCGACAGACACAACAGTGAGTTGGTTGTCCACATCTGGAGACTTTCGAAATGAATTTGTGTAAAACTGAGGGGTGTTTAGGGATTAAGTTTTAGAGGTCGTCATGGTGTTATGTGATGGTGTGTCAAGCATAATTAGGCCTGTCATAAAATTTTGCAAGACGATAAATTGTTCCAGAAGTTATTGTGATAAACGATAGCATTGTTTTGAGACCATTTTTAAGTAACATAATGATAGTGACAAAAATAATGATGCAAGAACACATTCTTAAAGATAAACTTTAAATTCTAATGAACATTTAACACTGGATCTAGAAGACATTTGAAATATCTAAAAAACATAAATAAAACTACAAATTAAGTGAATTTAAAAGTATTTATAAACAAAATTGTTCCTCAAAAAAACAAAAAAAAAAACAAAGGGGCTAGTTGAGACGAAAGCACCAAACAGGCAAAGTTTGTGGAGACACGCACCGTCTGATTGACAGCGGTAATCTTTGCTTTTATTTTTCATGACAAAGCAGCATTAAAACAGACAAAGTATGTGGGTTATCTTTTTTTGTTTTAACGATTCTTCTTGGAAATAACTCGGATATTGTTGAAACAGTGAAGCCGTCGACATTCATCTGTTGGGGTAGCAGCATCTGAGTCAGGAAGTTACAGGAGCAGTATTATGTAAAATAAGCTTTTCATCGTGTTATCTTTGCACATAAATGGAGTGTTGCTTTGATTCTTTCATGGGGCAACCAAGCGCTGCCTTCCTGGAGCTGCAGCTTCCCAGCCGAGCTTCTGCATCATAGATCACTTCACTCAGCTCCTTCAAACTACCAGCAGCAGCACTTAGATGTGATGACGTGCTGAAGGCGGAGTGTCAGAAAGAGCAGGAGTTTCTTAAAGAGACAGAGCCCCAATTTTAGGGGGTTAAATTGTGAAGTCGAATTTCTTCTGAGTCATGTTTGAAGAAGCCTATTTCAAATGTTTTCCAAGAACAATATTTGTGTTTGTGGTGCTATGAAGTCACAGTCATACAGTTTCCTAAAAATAAATATGTATATTTTTATCATGATTTTTATCGTTATCACAATAGGGCCACAAAATATCCTGATAATCTTTAATACTGCTCCTTTAAAAGGACTAAATAAAGAAGGCTGGTTCTGTTCTCTGTGTCAGAATTTGTTTTATAAAACCATCAAAGTTAACATTTTAACGTGTTTTAATTCAGTCTGGGGTTGGTCAAAGGGATAAAATGTGGTGTAGTTATGATCAATATGTTGTTATTTATTAATTAGCTTACAGACTGATTTAATTGTTTCTGTTTAACGTTGTTTGTCTTGGTGATGAGTTTAACAATTGATACCGTCGTGTGAAAATAAGGAGCACGCCTTTTAGTGAATGATTTCATTTTGTATGCGTTCTCCCTTTAGCATACACAAGCAATGCTGACATGATCCAGCCGGGCCTGACGCCACTGCAGCCCAGTATGGATGACTTCATGGACATCCCAGGTACTCCCTTCTTATTCCTCTGTTTATGCGGCGATTTATTTGTTTGCCAGCAAATCTCCGTGCAACCGCAACATGTGATGTCTTAGTGTTTAATATTACCTGTTGTTGTTTTTCTTGAAGCTGGTTAGGTAAGGGTCTTATCAGTTTGACAAATCTAGACCGTAGGTGTCCAAAGTGCAGGTCCACAGGCCATTTTCAGCACCTGGGGGGATTTTGTGTGGCCTCCCACTGCAGTTCAAGAACGGTACAAATCTGGATGGTGGCCACAGAGCTTTTTTTAAAAATAATTTTTACATTTTTAAAGACATTTCCCTGACAAAATAAAACCATTTTTAAAACCGAAAATGTTTCAGCATGAAGTGTTGCTCCTTATTTTATCACACCTTCTGATGCCATCATAGTTTTGTAGTAAGCTGGACCACAAGCGTCCAGTGAATTTTACTCAAAATCAGACTTGGTCAGCCGTTTGTTAAACCTACGTAAATACTTTCAAAGACAGAGTGACCCAAATCCGGTTGCTATTTCTGACGATAGCCTAAAAATAGAAAGCAATCAATACGGCTAACAAATGAAGGCGCTTTTCATGTTGTGGATCCAGAATGACTGACAGATCTCCTTTGTACCTAAGTGTAAAAAAAATTGCTATTATGTTTTGTAATGAACAAAAAAAAAGTTAATTTTATGTCCATTAAGTACTTAAAAAATTTGGACACAACTGTAAAGTAAGAATGGCTGATTTCAAATTCTTTGAGACGTTTGTAAATCACTTATCAGACTCAAAGGATGCTGCAATGTGCTTTACCGAAGATCTCAAATATACCATGAGATGTCTGGATTAAGCAGAGCTGAAAAACAATATTCTGTTTTGAGTATTACATCCAGGCATGTCTAAAATCTCCTAAAATCTTGTGGGAGGACAGAGCGACACTTCAACAAAGTGTTTTTGGATTTATCAAAAAACACTTTGACAAAGTTTTGTTTCATGTTTCTCATTCTTAGGAAGCCAGGTCGTTACGGGTTTTTTCTGTTTTTCCTTCCAACAGATTTGCTTGTG